TCTTGAAAAAAGAAAGGAAGTCCCCAGAGCTGCCAAACATTTTAGAAAGCTGTCATCCAAAGAGATGTTGAAATCAGAAGACAAGGAACCTACTCAAGTTTGGGGCCTAAGAGTATAGCATTTCTTGTGGGGCAGCTTACTGACTGGATTTCTTTTTTTTTAAGATTTCATTTATTTATTCATGAGAGACAGAGAAAGAGAAAGAGAAAGAGAAAGAAAGAAAGGGGCAGAGACATAGGCAGAGGGAGAAGCAGGCTCCACATGGGACTCCATCCTGGGACTTCAGGATCACACCCTGGACCAAAGGCAGGCACCAAACTGCTGAGCCACCCAGGGATCCCCCTGGATTTCTTTTTTACGTGGGGTCAGCCAATGTGTGGAGGCTTTCATATTCAGCCTTTTCAAGGCACTACTCACCTTCTGCTCCCTGTCTTTTCTACCTGCCAAGGTTAATTACTCAGATGGTTTTGGTTTTATCTCTGCAACCACCATGTCTATTCTGAATGCTCCCTGATGAGTTTCAAAATAATGACTCCAAATGTTCCAGTCTCCCACCAAAACCAAGGGTCTCAGCTTGCCTTAGCTTAGAGGATAGCTACTACTAGTCCTCTTTACATTCTATCATATCTGGCCACTACCGAAGATGAAGCCCCTCTGATCATTTATCATGTCCCTTTGTCTCTACACTTTTCTGTGCTTTCTCACCCACCCAAATTCCCACTGTGCCTCTCCATCCCAGACCTTTCCACTTGGCCCTAGAGAATTCTCATTCAAAGATAGACAAACTCTCTTCCATGGAAACTCTCCTATTTTCTGGCCTTAAATGAAACATGGTTCTCTCCTGAAGACAACACTTCCCCTGCATCTCCACATATCACAGGACCTAGAGACAGGGTTGGCATTCTCCTACTACTTCACCACTACTTCTAAGCCATAACTCTTTCAACATTGCTTCCTTGGGGTTCATATCATCCATTCATTTTCTCTTCTTCATTGTGGTCATCTAACAACCTACTGGTCAGTCTCTCTCTTTCTCTCTCTGTCATTCAGTGAGGTTTGCCACTTGATTCACACTCTTCCTCTCTAACAAATTGGCCATCATCCTAGACATCTTCAGTGTTCCTATCAACAAACATCCATCTTGGGCCCCTAATGTCCAAGTAAAGAAGTCGAAGAAGGCAGCATTTGAACAGCCTCAGCTGAATGAAACTTGTGGGTTTTTTCTGGTGCTTTCTCAATATGAAATGGCTGCATTTGAAAAGGAACTCAGCCTTGTGGTGTCCAGGATAGAGTCTAGGATGATTGTAGGTGAGTAGAGTTTCAATAGATTTGAATTTTTCCCAGAATTAGATATGGTCTCCAAGTATCTGAGATGGGGAGATTTCTGGGTAAGAGCATTTAAGCAAGAGTTGCAGCAGACTGAGTCTAGGCTTATCTGGCTGGTGGCACTGCCTTCACATCAATTCTTCTTCTTTTTTTTTTTTTTAAGTAGGCTCCACACCCAGGAAGGAGGCCAGCATGGAGCTTGAACACATGATCCTGAGATCAAGACCCGAGCTGAAATCAAGAGTTGGATGCTTAACCACCTAAGCCACCTAGGCGCCCCTACATCAATTCTAGTACAAAGATACTGCCTTCTGAATTAATGTTTCATGATGTTGATAAGTATAAAATATTATTTCAAGAAATATTTCCGGGATCCCTGGGTGGCGCAGCGGTTTGGCGCCTGCCTTTGGCCCAGGGCGCGATCCTGAAGACCCGGGATCGAGTCCCACGTCGGGCTCCCGGTGCATGGAGCCTGCTTCTCCCTCTGCCTGTGTCTCTGCCTCTCTCTCTCTCTCTCTCTCTCTCTCTGTGACTATCATAGATAAATAAAAATTTAAAAAAAAAAAAGAAAAAGAAAACGACTACTTTAAAAAAAAAAAAGAAATATTTCCTGAGTCAGAAAGGGAGACAGAACATGAAAGACTCCTAACTCTGGGAAACGAACTAGAGGTGGGGAAAGGGGAAGTGGACGGGGGTGGGGGTGACTGGGTGATGGGCACTGAGGTGGGCACTTGACCGGATGAGCACTGGGTGTTATTCTATATGTTGGCAAATTGAACACCGATAAAAAATTAAAAAAATTAAAAAAAAGAAATATTTCCTGAGAACCTACTATGTGGCAAGCACTGTCCCAGGAGCTGAGTAAAGAAAAAAAAATCCCTTACCTATAGCTTAAATCAGTTCACAGCCATTTAACATAAATAATCCATATGTCAAGTCAAAATAATGATATTTCAAGAGGGTTGTTTTGTGTATTAAATGAAATGATTCATACCATGCTAATAGCTCAATAAATGTAAGTAAATGGTAAAGGGGTGGGGCTATTAAAAACTCCTCTGCACCTCCCAAATGTAACCACCAGGTGTCAGGCTCCCCTAGCTAAACCCTACTAGGTCAAGGGTGACCAGGTCATCTACCCTCTCCAAACACCAGAAGAGGAAGAAGAGGACCTTGAGGCGACTCTTTGCCTCTCCCCATACTCCTGATCGGAGCTACTTAGGCGCAGAAATCTCTTAGTACTGATTGTAGGTGAGAACGCGTGTTCCTACAGAGTGAGCCCAGTCCAAAGCATTCTGCTGTCTCATTAGGCACCACAATTTGGAAATGACCATGAACCCGGTCAAGGAGAAGCAGAAAAGGGATATTCAAGGCAAAGAGGAGCAAAGCAAGGCCAGGGAAAGAATGAAGTAGGAATAGGAAAGAAGACACTGAAAGAGAGAGAAAGATAAAACCTCTTCCTCAGCCACCTCTCTAGGGCCTCACCCAAAGCTTTGCGAGAGTCCTCTCATTTAAGCCTTGAGCAACCTGAAACCCCCACCTCCCGGGCTCCTGCCACACGTCAAATCCCTTTTTAATCCTTGTAATCCCACTGATTCTCTAGCTGGCTTTCTCTCGGATACATTTCAGAGAGGAGCTTTAGAGTCCCTGGCAAAGAACTCCTCATTTTTTTTTTAGCCCATGTAATTTCTACTTTGTATCTGAGCTGCCATATTTTCCCAGACTTCCTTTTTCTCTTCATTAGAAACTATATTTCCATTTTTTGAAAGATGCCTTTTTCCCCCTTACAATAGCCTCTTTGACTTTGCCAACTAACCCAGCTGCATATTTTATTTCCCAAGTGCCTAGTATTTTTGATCATTGGCATACATTTTTCTCAGGCTTCCAATACGTTATGTTGAAAATAGTCCACAGGCTTCCTGTGGGTTATTGACTTTTTGAATGTTAGTCTTAATTTTTCCTAATGTCTTGTTACATGTGGCATACCCAAACAGGAATGGGCCTTGTTCAGACACTATCCTGAAGTAGAAGTGTTGACTTAGTGTGCTCTCTCTGGACAGAAACCTCGCTGCAATCATTATTTAGACCCAAATACCAGTTAAGAGTTCTTTCCTTAACACAGAGATCTTTGCTCAGGAATTTCTAAAGAAAGCCCAAAGAATTAATTGAGAAAATGTGGCCTACGCTCCAGAAAGAACCAAGTAATAAAAAGTATACTGCAATTAACATAGAAGCCAAGCTTGTAAACTACCACTAATATCTTCTCTCCCTTGGCAAAGTGTGGCAAAGGGAAGTGAATCTATTCCTAGGACAACATATAGATTCTAGGAACTAATCTAAGATATCCAGTTATCTAAAAAATCTGAACTTGGATTTCTTCCAAATCATGATCAATCCAGGTCAGTGCCAGATCATGCAAGAGGGGCCTGAGTCCTTGCATTCACCAAAGGCCACCGCTACTGTTTCTATCCATTGTTGGTAGAGAAATAGCCTTATGTAGATGGCTCTTCCGTGGTGACATTGCACACATCCACACAGCCAAAGGCTTGAACTACCTGAGTTTTGGCGGAATGCCTTGTGATCCTCCTGAAACACAAGAGCACAGGAGGTCTCTAAGGAGGTCATCTCCCACTCACATCGCTATCTTCCCTGGGAGGCTGCCATGAGACAGTTTCTCATCACCTTGCTGGTTCTGATGGGATATGAAGCTCTCTGTCCTATGCCTTCGGAATAGAGCTGCAGAATATAAAACCCCTTAGTGGCAGCCTAGAATGGACTCCTTGGCAACAACACCGTTGTTTCCTTGTCCTTTTTAGTGTGTGGAACAAGGATCGTGGGGAGCAGGCACCTTAGGCTTGTTCTTTTTTTGCTGTCTACTTAAGTAATCAAATGTCTAAGTCTAGAAATGACTTGCTGTCTCTTTAACCAGCCAAAGCAGTCAGGCCTTGGCCTTGCCTTTCTCATGTGTAAGCTTGACAGTCCTTGAGCCCTCCTACACAACCAGCTGTGATTACATCCAAAGCATGAGGCTACAGGTGATTCCATTGACAAGGTCTGCATTCTTTTACCCAGTGGAAGCTGCTGCTGTTTATGATACTAAGTGAGGAGTGGAGACATAATTGCCTCCCCTTCTTTAAAATGTTGCGAATCCAGAGGCGCCTGGGTGGCTCAGTTGGTTAAGCATCTGCTTTTGGCTCAGCTGGGATCATGATCCCAGAAAACCCACAGCATGCTCCCTGCTCAGTGGGGCGTCTGCTTCTCCCTCTGCCCCTCCCCCTGCTCATGCTTACGCTCTCTCTTTCTCTCTGTCTCTCTCTCACTGTCTCTCAAATAAATAAAATATTTTAAAAAGATGTTGCAAATCCAAATTTAAGGACATTCTACAAAGCAATTTGCCTAGGCTCCTCAAAAGCCAATGTTCCGAAAGGCACAAAGAAAGGCTGTGGAACTTTACCAGAGACTAAATGAAGTGACAACTAAATACAATCTGTGACATTTGAGCAGATTCTAAATGGAGTTTTAAACACCTCTTTAAGACATTATTACAATAATTAGAGATATTTGAATATGGATTATAAATCAGATACTAACGTTATAATAAATGTTACAATGTCTTGAGTGGAATCATTGTATTGTGGTTATGTAGAAGGATGCTTTTGCTTTAGGAAACACTTGCTGTGCTCGCTTCGGCAGTACACATGTTAAAATTGGAATGATACAGAGAAGATTAGCATGGCCCCTGCACAAGGATGACATGCAAGTTCATGAAGCATTCCATATTTCTCAAGGTCTTTACGTAGGAAATACATGAAGTATTCAGAGATTATGTGCAATTTACTCTCAAATGATTCAGGAAGAAAAGAACGTATATTTACAAGACATAAAGCAAATGTGGCAACATGCTTACAATTAATAAAGGGTATATAGGTATTTATTGTATTATTCTGAAACTTTATATTCTAAATATTTCAAAAAAATTAGGGAGGAACTATGTTGCAAAGAACATTCTTGCACATATTTTCTTGGGCACACAAAACTCTAGGTTATATACTAGAAGTAGAATTTCTAAGTCATAAAATATGAACATCTTTAGCTCTACTAGATATTGCTAAATTACTAAGGTGGTCGTACCAGTTTATACTTCCACCACGTCTCACCACATCTTCACATAACACTGTCAGTTCTCGTTTCTGCCAATCTGGGGGCTGCAAGGTAGTATCTCATTACTGCTTTTTTTCCTGACATTTTATTATGAAAAATTTAAACATAAAGTTTAAAAAATTATGCAGTGAATTCAGGTAGTGGTTACATGAGCATTTTGTCATATTTGCTTTATCACATATCTACCCATCCCTTCATCCATAATTTAATTCATCATATTGTTAAATATTTTGAAGTAAATTGAAAACATCTTTACACTTCACTTCTAAACACTCCAGCATGCATATCATTAAGAAGAGTTCAACATTTGCTTACAGATTTTTTAAAAGATGTTTTGTTTATTTATTTATTTGACAGAGAGAGAACACAAGCAGGGGGAGCCGCAAGCAGAGGGAGAAGCAGACTCCCCACTGAGCCAGAAGCCCCATGTACTGTTGGATCCCAGGGCCCTCGGATTATGACTTGAACCAAGGCAGATGCTTAACGGACTGAGCTGCCCAGGTGCCCCTGCTTACAGATTTTTTTAAAAAAAGATTTTATTTATTTATTCATGAGAGACACACAGAGAGAGAGACAGAGACAGAGACACAGGAAGAGGGAGAAGCAGGCCCCATCAGGGTCTCCAGGATCATGCCCTGAGCTGAAGGCAGCACTAAACCGCTGAGCCACCCAGGCTGACCTGCTTACAGATTTTTTTTTTAAATTTTATTTATTTATGATAGTCACACAGAGAGAGAGGGGGGGGGCAGAGACACAAGCAGAGGAAGAAGCAGGCTCCATGCAGGGAGCCTGACGTGGGATTCGATCCCGGGTCTCCAGGATCGCGCTCTGGGCCAAAGGCAGGCGCTAAACCGCTGCACCACCCAGGGATCCCCTGCTTACAGATTTTTAAGGTAAAATGTATAAACAGTGGAATGCCCAAACCTTGAGTATATATTCGCTGAGTTTTAACAAATGCATACACCCATGTAACCCAAACCTCTACAAAAATATAGAACATTACCATAAACCCCCTAGAAAGTTCCATAATTACCCTCCAGGTCAAGCCCTGCTCCAACTTCCACCAGGTAACCACTGCTCTGATTTGTTTTTCCATGATAGGTTTTTCCATGATAGATTAGTTTTGTCTCTTCTAGATATAATATGTACTTTTTGGGGGGACAATTTCTTTTACTCAGCACGTTTTTGAGCTTAATACAGATGGTTGCCTCTATCACTAGTTTGTTCCTTTTTATCACTGAGTAGAATTCCATTGTATGAACATGGCACAGTTTGTTTATCCATTTTTCTGGTGATAGACATCTAGTCTCTTTTCAGTTTGCGGCTATTATGAATAAGGCTGTTATGAACATTCTTGTCCAAATGTTTTTGTGGATATGTTTTCATCTCTTGGGTTTTTATTGTTTTAACTGCATGTCTCTGATTACTAGTGAAATTGAACATATTTTTTTAAGTTTATTTAAGTAATCTCTACACTTAATGTGGGTCTCAAACTCACCACCCCGAGATCAAGAATCGTATGCTTTTGACTGAGCCAGCCAGGCACCCCAAACATATTTTCCTATAAGCCATATTTTACTGTATATATTATCTACTTTTATCTTTTGTTCATTTTTCTGTTAAGCTGTCTTTAATCTTTTTTTCCTTAACAAACAGCTTTCAGGATACCTGGGTGGTTCAGTCAGTTGAGCATCTGACTTTGGTTTTGGCCCAGGTTGTCATCTCATGAATCAAGAGATAGAGCACCACATCAGGCTCTCCACACAGTGGGGAGTCAGCGTGAGATTCTATCTCTCCTTGTCCTTCACCCCTCCCCCTCCCCCCATGCACACACTTTCTCTCAAATAAATTAATAAATCTTTTTTGGAAAAAGCAGGTTTTGGGATACCTGGGTGGTTCAGCAGTGGAGCATCTGCCTTTGGCCCAGGGCATGATCCTGGAGTCCTGGGATTGAGTCCCACATCAGGCTCCCTGCATGGAGCCTGCTTCTCCTTCTGCCTATGTCTCTGCCTCTCTCTGTGTGTGTCTCTCATGAATAAATACATAAAATCTTAAAAAAATAAATAAAAATGTAAAAGCAGCTCTTTTTTTTAGAGTTTTATTTAAGTCACCTCTACACCCAATGTGGGGCTCTAACTCATAACCCCAAGATCAAGAATCACATGCTCTTCTGAAGGAGCCAGCCACCCACCCCAAGAAGTACCTCTTTTTATTCTGGATGCTAATTATATATCTCTTATGTGTTGTAAATATCTTGTCTCTCCTGTTTATGATGTCTATTCTTATATAGAAGTATTAATTTTTGACTCAAATTAACTAATTTTTTTCTTTTAGAGTTGTACTTTATGCCTTGTCTAGGACAGTGATCATTGGTTTAGGGTACATATTCCCTGAAGGTATGCGAAGATTTTTAAGGTGTTTAAGAGTATGGATGGCTTTAATTTTTTTATTTTTTATTTTTTTTATGGATGGCTTTAAAGGAATTGATTTCTAGATCCTCAATTGCCATATAGATTCTTTCCTGAAAGTGAAATATTTCAGTATGCCTGTGTGGTGGCCTCATTCTGGGTCTACTTTTCCTTTCATGAATGCCTGTATCCTTTTTCCCCAGTCTGAATCTTAGTGTTGTTCATACCCCTAAGTATAAAACCTCTGGTGAGCCAAATAAAGGGCAAATCAAAATATTTGTGTTAACAGGGTACACACTGTATTTATATGGAATTATAGAACAGGGAAAATGAATTCCCAGTGAAAATAGAACAGTGGTTGCTTCTGGGGTGGGAATGAAGAATGACTACTTCAAACAAAGAAATACAAGAGCAAATAACATGCATATTGAAGTTTTCAGGAGTGAAGTATACTAATGTCTGAAACTTATTTTAAAATGCATAAAAACATTAAGATGGGTTAATGGATGGTATGGGGGCCCAGGGCAAGTTGCCCCAAGATGGGCCACTTTGGCAAAGATTATTTCGAGTTAAAAGAAATCAAAACCTAGGAGATACAGGAAAAGCTCTCTGCCTCCCCCACAATAGCCTAAATTTACATTGGAAAGCAGAGCCCGTACCAGGAAGAGAGCTATGAACAGAGACTCCCCTTTACATAAGGAACTTACCTGCATACTAGGACAACCTTGTTTTTCCAAACATCCCCTTTCACCTTCCTGCTAATGGCCTTCTTTGTAGCCTCAGACCTCTCCTTAGTTCCTATAAGCTTCACATTGCCTCACTGTCTTTGTAGCCTCAGACCTCACTGTCTTTGGAATTTCCAGGTCTGTAGATTTATTATATGTATGCCTATAAATTTTGGTTTTCTCCTGTCAGGCTGTCTCATGACAATCTAAGTTCATTTAGAAGGATCACAGTGGGGCAGCCCGGTGGCTCAGCGGTTTAGCTCAGCCCAGGGCCTGATCCTGGAGACCTGGGATGGAGTCCCATGTCGGGGTCCCTGCATGGAGCCTGCTTCTCCCTCTGCCTGTGTCTCTGCCTCTCTCTCTCTCTCTGTCTCTCATGAATAAATAGGTAAAATCCTTTAAAAATTTTTTTTAAATAATAGAAGGATCATAGGGCAAAGGTAGGTCTTGCACCTCAACAATGAATAGAGGGATGGGTAAATGGAAAAAGAGGTATTAAAATGAACATAGCAAAAGGCTAATTGTAGAATCTAGGTGTCAAGGACATGGACATTTATGTACAATTCTATCAATTTATTTACTTGTTTAAAACAAGTAGATGGGGCAGCCTGGGTGGCTCAGTGGTTTAAGCGCCTGCCTTTGGCCCAGGGTGTGATCCTGGGGTCCCGGGATCGAGTCCCATGTCAGGCTCCCTGCATGGAGCCTGCTTCTCTCTCTGCCTCTCTCTCTCTCTCTCTCTCTCTCTCTCTCTCTCTTTCTCTCTCTCGATAAATAAATAAAATATTTAAAAAAAATAAAACAAGTAGATTCTGAGGAAGATTCCTCTAGTCAAAGTCTTGTGTCTTTTTCTGCTTCTGAGAGACAGGTCCGTGAGAACAAAGCAATGAGAGCTGTGGTAAATACTGAAACTGTCAGTGCCTTGTTTCATCCAGGCAACAAATTCATGGCAGGGCTCTGCCTATCTAGCTTAGAATTCAGAATTGAGATCACTGTTACAAGGAATGCATTAACACATTTTTATTTGAATTGAAAAATAAAAAAGTCAGACTTTAAAAAACAAAGTAAGAGATGCCTGGGTGGCTCAGTGGTTGAGCGTCTGCCTTTGGCCCAGGGCATGATTCCGGCCGGGATCCTGGGATCGAGTCCTGCATCGGGCTCCCTGCATGGAGCCTGCTTCTCCCTCTGCCTGTGTCCCTGCCTCTCTCTGTGTGTCTCTCATGAATAAATGAATTTAAAAATCTTTTTAAAAAGTCTCATTCGATTTTTTTATTTTTTGGATGAATAGGACTGACTGGCAGTTAGATTATGTAGTGGGCATTTCTATTAATTGAATAAACTGAGGCCCCTGAGTGGCTCAGTCAGGGGTAAGCATCTGCCTTTGACTCAAGTCATGATCCCAGGGTCCTGAGATAGAGTCCCACATTTGGCTCCCTGCTCAGCAAGGAGTCTGCTTCTCCTTCTGCCTGCCACTCCCCCTACTTGTGCATTCT